CACGTACGGCCGATGCACCAAGTATCGTCCCAATCGCTTCAACTCCTGCATGGCCTCCTCCGTTGGCTTGGCCATCCTCTGTGCTAACGTCTTCACACCCTCGCCGATGTCATGCCGGTCCTGCGCGAGAAAACTCGCGCGCATCACAGCCGATCTGAATGTCGAAGCTGCCGTCGAGGAAAGTGGCGGTGACCTCCGATGCCGCTCAATGTCCGCATCGGTCGGCTTGACGCTTGGCGTCTTCACGCCATTGCCCTTGCCGAGTCCCAGCGCCTGCACGATGAGCTCCGAGTGCCTGGCGTCCGGCTCGATCTCAACGTACTTGCGGCCGTCCTGGTTATAGCCAACCCTGATGACTCTGTTCAGCACCGTCGCCTCCTTCACGCAGTGGTCCGCGAAGCCTAGCCTGTGGCTCTCCCGCGCGGAATACTTCGACGCCGAAGTGGCGCCGATCTGATCAAGTCCCAAACGAGGACCCAATACCACGAAATCATCACCATGCACTCCACCACGTAAAACCAAACCTCGACGAAGGAACAACGCCGGGTTCGCCACTCCGATCTCGAACCCGTCCGCCACCAGCAACTGCTGCCAATCATCCATCCAATTACTACTGGCATCGCGGAACCCATACATGCTGCGATTGAGCCTTCCGACCATGTGCTCGTCACCTGGTTCTCGATCTTCCGCGGGAATGTCGATGTATAGCTCACGCTTCGCCGGCGCCATGAAATGCGCGCGGCTGATGTCGAAGATGGCGATCTCTGGGTCCGCGGTGCCATCCACGGAGCCGTCGGTGACCAAGAGAGAGAACAAGGCCTTGGTAGCCTCCCACGGTGGCATCGCGCTAAAAAGCTCGCGCGCCAGCAGCTGGTCTTTGGTATTTGCCTTCAGCTCGCGACCGCAGATCCTCGAGCGCGCGTTGTAATTGTCCTTATCGCCCTTGTTCACGTCAACCCACCGTGCACTCACTGTCTTGAATCCTCTGGATTCCATCTCGCTCCTCGGTACCTTGTCGTACAACTTGACGTTGCGAACCCAATCAATCTCCTTCTTCCTAGCCTCCTTTACCAACTCCGGGGGAAGTATCTCGCTTGTGATGTTGTCCCGGGTCTCCTCGTAAAACTCCACCATATTCTCGATCTCCTTCGGGCCCAGGTCGTCGACTGGATAGTGCGGCTCCGTAGGTGCAGGTCCCGCAGCTGCCAACTCTACAACGCTAACGTCTCGATCTCGCCGCATCTGCTCCTTCAGGGCCCTCAAGATAGTGCGAACAAGTCGCACGGGATACGCTGCTGTCTGCTTCGCCACGCCGCCAACCACCTGCATGTGGACGTGGCGCGGCCCACCAGTCCGGTTGGCACACCCTCGATCCAGCGCCTTGGCCAGCTCCTCCGAGTTGGTCATCCACCTGGTCTGCGTCAAAACGCGACGCTCGCCGCTGACCTTCTCGAAACTCTCCGGCTTCATGTCGTAGCAGCACATGGGGCCCTCCACCGTGTAGACCCCCGGCTCGCTCCTGAGCCTTACGATGCAATCCTCCTTCCATGAGTCCGCTCCTGCCGGATGTTCGTGTAGGAAATACCTACCGGCGCGAAGTTGCCGCCAGTAGAAGCCCACCGCCGTAGTCAAGTACAGCGGGCTCCCCATTAGTACGTACGGCTCCTCCTGGTCCACTCGGTCCTCCAGCTCCTTCACGTCGTCATCCTTCTCCAAGTCCCAGCAATCGTACGACTCTGGCATGTTCTCGCTCAGGTCCATGGCGAAACCTGGACGGAGTCCATACTTCTGCGCCATTGCCGCGAAGCGCACAGGGGCGTAGGTCTCGATCATGTCCACTGCGCCCAGCTCCACAGCTACCCTGCAGAAGTCTCTCACATCGCTGGTCCGGTACTCCTCGCCAGCGTCTCGCAGCCAGGTCCCCAACCCAACTGCCATCTCCTCGGCCAGGCCGATCTTCTCATCGCTCATCTTGACGTCGTCCACCGCGACGTCCAGCGAGTCTACCTCCACGTCCTGCGTCGTGGACTGGACCGCCTGCTCCACGTCGGTCATACCTGACTGGCTCACCTCCGGAGGGAGCACGATAAGCTCGCTAGCCGGAGCATCCTGGCCGGGGCCTCCGCTCCCCGGCGAACCGCCCGTCCCTGGCCTCTCCTCCAAGCGCTCCTCGTCGCCTGGGTCGTCGGCCGTCCGCTTATATCGGCCGCCTCCCGTGTCCGTCCACTTCGCCACCTTCGGTGGCGATCCGGCATCGCTTCCACTCCTCTTGACCCTCGGCGAGTCCGGAGCACCCTGCTGGGCCGCCGGAGGCGCGGCGCTACCCGCAGCCGGAGGCCCCCGGAGATTTTGGCCTGGATCGGCCTGTGCCGCCGGAGGCGCGGAGCTACCCGCAGCCCCCGGAGGCCTCTGGAGATTTTGGCGTGGATCGGCCTGTGCCTGTCCTAGTCCAGGGCCCGCTTGAGCTCCAGCCTCCTGTCGCTGAGCTTCCACGCGTTCTCGGAACGCCGAGATCCTCCTCTCGTCGTCCTTCTCCACCTGCTCCATGATGCGCTTCCGGCACGCCGCGTCGTGCGTCTGCGCGCCAGCGCCTCGTGCCACTGCCTGGCACCCTGGGCATCCCGCCGCGAGCCCATACTTAAGCACGTCCTTCTTGCGTACGTAGAACGCTCTCGGTGCCACCACATCGGGCACCGCCGGCGGAGCGACCGGCACCGGCACGGCCGCTGCCGGCTCCGCGCCGCCTTCGGGCGCTGCGCCCCGTGGCGCCTGTACATCCCATGGTACTCCTCGCAGTTGATCCCAGCCAGCGCGGCTCCACCTCTCAGCAGCCGGCAGGCGTGTAAATGCCATGCCCTGCACCACGCCGTCAGAGCTGAGACCCAATACTGCTCCAGTCCGCGCATGGTGGCCGATGTGTCGCGCGCCCACCGTCACCGGCTCCCAATCACGTTTAGGTCGTCCAACTCGTTCTCGTGCCACCTTGAGGGCAATCTTCTCGCCGAACTGGATGCTCGGCTTCTTCCACTTCCGCCCCGTCTCCCGCTCATACGGGGTCTTGCCGTCGCTGCCCCTGCGGTACATCGCGATGGCGTCGGCCGCGAAGCCCGCGATCCAGCTCAGCATAGGGTCGCTCTCGTTCAGCTTGTGCCCCAGCTTCTGCTCCAACGCCAGGCGCGTTGCACGCATTTGGCGCTTGACCTCGCGCGCGCCCACCTCGATGCCGCCGTTGGCCTGGTGGTCTCCCACAGGCGCCGACCTCGGAATGGCCTCCGCTGATGGGCAAGATGTCGCTGCCGCCTCCTTGAGCGCAACCAGCGCCGGCTCGTTGTCGCTGTGGTTGATGTACTTCTTGAGGCCGGCCCCGTGCACCGTGTTGCCGAAGAACCTAACGCTGTACTCAGCCACGCCTTTCGCCGGAATCGAAGTAGCATAAAGTCGCCCTGACTTCGAACTCTTGATGATCAGGTGCGGGGCCGAGGTCTCGTCCGTGCTCATGAAGAAGTAGTCGCTGTAAATGCGTGGGCCTTCATTATCCTCGTCCGCGCCCCTCTCTACCTCAACGCGGCGCTGCGTGCCGGTCGCCCTGGCAGCCCAGCAGACGGGGCACCACGACCGGTACACCGCATGATTATGCTCCTCGTGCTCCTCCTTTTGAGCCCGGGTCGGGCCTCGCGCGGCCCGCGCTCTCTTGAACTCCTCCGATTCCTCGATGATGTTCGGGCCCTGAGCCGCCTGCCAGTCGCCTGCCAGCTGCTGCGCTGCAGTCGCGGACATCTGTGGGCCAGCGGATCTCTCCCAGACCGCCGTGACCACAGTCTTGCGCCGACCCGTCCACCGATTGGGGTCCGGGTCCATGCCCAGCGGGCTCTGCGTGTAGCCGCCCCGCTTCACCTCGAAGGACCTCCACTCGCCGTCGGTCCTCTCGAACTCCACTCGGCCGTCGTACAACCGGGTGGTCTCCTTCATGATGCCGCCCTGCTTCCAGTCGTCCTCGTAAGTGGTGCCCGCGATCGGGTTCTCGAGCGGCGCCAAGATGATGCCGTCGTGTTTGACCTGATCCACCACCGGACTTACGGCCGAGAGGCCTGCCCCGGAAAATCCGAAGAGCTAGCCGACGGCCTCCAAGGCGATGATGACGATGTCGATTCGATGCCGGCCACGCTGACCGGCTTCCCGTTCTGCTTGATGTAGAAGTTGTATAGCTGGCCCTCACGGTACAGCGGCAAGATCTCCTCCCTGCCGCAATGCCCGGTCAGCTCGTTGAAGGCACGCCGCATGCCCACTGCCACCGGGTGGTGCTTGGGCACCAGCGCGCCGCCGTTGTGCCAGATGAAGGAGTCGTGGCCCTTGGACACCTCCGCGGCCGACCCGAGCGGCTTGTGCACCGCAGTGACGGCACCCGAGATGCCCCTCTGGTTGCCATGCTCGTCAATGCCTGGCACTCGGACGCGGCCGAAGTCCGGAATCACGTCGCCGGAAGCCACCCGGAACTCGCCCTTCTTCTGCAAGTTCAGCCCGTCGCCGAACTCCAAGGGAAACGCAGTAGTGGCTGCGCCCGTATCGTAGTTGATGCGCAGCCACTCGTCGCTCCCAGTCCGGATCCGATGTGGAGGTCTGGAGGGGGAAGGTGACAATGATGACATTGATCTCTTCTTATCGTCGACCCCGCTGATGTCGAGGCCGTTCTGCTCCGCCTCCGGCTCGGTGGCGGAGGACTGGTTCCACCAGGGCATCGGGGCGTCAGCCGGCCAGTCGTCGAGCGAGCTCATGGTCTTGCCGCCCCTGCCCTTGGGGCCGCCCTTGCCGCCAGCCGCCTTGCCCTTAGGCTGCCCTGGTGCTCCTCCTCCTGGGGCTCCTCGACCTCCTCCTCCTGACTGGTACCTGCAGTCTTCCTGCTTGTGGTTGCCGCCGCACGTCCAGCATCCTGATCCGTACCTGGGCTGCTGGTTCCTGGGGCCCCTCCCTCCTCCTCCTCTGGCTCCTCCGGACTTGCCGTCCGGCTTACCTCCGGATTTACCGTCGCCTTTGCCTCCCTTCTTGCCGAGGCTCTTGCCGCCGCTCCTGCAATCCTTGCCGTAATGACCCATCTTGCTGCACTTCCAGCACTGGACGCCCGGCCGATGCTGCGGGGTCAGCGCGCCGACGTCCATGTCGTCCGGGCCTCGCCTCGTGTTCCTCTGCTTGGCGTCCAACTTCAGGGAGTGCTTGGTCGAGGCGTAGCTGCTCAGCCTGTTGAAGATGTCCGCGAAGGTCTCGTCCTCCGCCGCGTTGAACATCAACTGCGTCTCCAGGTCCGCCGGCGCCAACCTGTACATGGCGGCAATCAGGGAGTCCTCGCTGACCTTGCACGGCTGCCCGTCTCGGTCCGTGAACTCTTCGTACTGGCGCTTCCTCATCAGCCAGTCCTCGAGAGCCTGCCCGAGCTTGTCGATGCTCTCCACTTTGTCTGGGTTCTGCACCTTGCCGAGAATCACGACCCGGCGCATCGCCGACGCGGGGTCGTACTCGGCGTGGAGACGGCGCCAGGCTTCTAGCCCTTGGTGCTGCCCGGCGTTCCTGACGACCTTGTTGGCGCTGTGCGTCGTGAGCGACACGGAGGTACGTGTACAGGTTGGCCGCCTTCGCCTCCAAGTCCACGATGTCCTCGCCGAAGGCGTCCATGAAGTTCACGCTGTCCCCGCCCCCGTCATTCGTGATCTTCTTCCGCTGGGACGACGCCCACTTCAGGGCAGCAGTGAAGTCCGGGCCGAACTTCGCCGACATGAAGCACACGACCTTGTGCGCCCACTCCTGGAACTCGCTCTCCTCCTTCCCGGAAAACTTTCCTGGCTGTCCTACCCCCTTCGCGTCGATGATCTCGTTCCCGCCGCGGTTCGCGACGCGGAGGGCCAACTCCAGGGTCGCCCTCCTGTCGTTGTTGGCCTGCTCCTCCTGGCGCCTCGCCTCCGTGATCTGGAGGACCGCGGCCTGCGTCTCGCGGCGGGCGTCGGCGAGCTGCGTCGCGAGCTGCTGCATCTCCTGCCGGTGTGTTGCCGCCGTCTGCGCCTGCTGCTGCTGGAGCGCGGCGATTTGTTGAGCCAACTGCTCCATGGCCTACCGCCAAGTTGACGAGTCCAACTCGTAACAACTGGCCACGCCGCTCACGCTTGTTGAACGACTTCTTCGAGCGCGTACCGCGCTTCGAGGGCATGCACAACCGTGCACTGCCTTGCGCTGCCTCCCGCAGCGCCGGTGACTGCCGCCGTCGGACGCGGAGCTACCCGCAGTCCAATCGCGGCGACTCAGCGCGGAGCTACCCGCAGCCGAGTCCAGCAATGGCTCGCGCGCTCGAGCCGTGGATCGTCACAGCAGCTTGGGCTCGCCACTGCATGAGCCACCATGTCTACGTACAGTGCATAGCCGCTATCCCACTTAGTGGGATTGTTGTTCGTGGATGCATCATTGCCCCCAGGAGTCTACTTAACAAAATGGGTTCCCCCTGGCTCCAAGGGACTGCAGAGTGACCCAAATTTGATCAATCTAAAGATACATCTATATATATGTATATATATCCACATACATATACTATGTATGCTAGTGTAAGTATACTTTGTATGTATGTACATACATACATACATACATACATGCATGCATACATACAAACAAACAAACAAACAAACAGACATATACAGAATTGCAAACGCATCGCCAAACTGCCCGCACAAGGTCAAAAAAACACCAGCACGGCACCCACGAGGAACCACCATTGTCCAAACGAGGCCCCCGACAAGCTCCCCAGGAAATCCCAACGAGCATCCAAGAGGTCCCATGCCCATATCCCAGGCACGGAGGCGCGACGGGCCGAAGGCCATTCGATATTTCATCCCCCCATTATCCTGTTCCTCCTGCTCCTCCCCCCTTCCCGGCAAGCACGCAAGGCGAAAACGCATGATTGCCTGACTTTGGCAAAACAATACGTTATGCACGGCCGACGATGTCAGCCTCGCGTTTATGGGTACCGAGTCGAAGCTTAAACTTTGGATCCTTTGTTTCTGCGCCAATTGCGTGTTGCGTTCATGTTTTCCTAGACGTGCACATTGCGATCGGGTTCGGTATGTATGAGCTGCTCATCCGACTTGCGTAGCGCTTCTTATTGACCAACGACTGTTTGGCGATTAGCACTGGCGGTTTCGGCGTTGCGGGCGCGGGGGGGGGGGGGGGGGGGGGGGGGGGGGGGGGGGGGGGAGGGGGGGCGCGCGGAGTCTGATGTTGAAGTCAAACCATGAGTGCTCGAGTTTTGGGGTTACTTGCGTGACTTTGATTCATCCCGTTTTGGGCATCCGCAGTAGTTTCAGGCCCAAGGTTTCCTTCAGGGACTCTCGGACCAGAATTCTGGCTCGCTGTCACGTGAAATCTGCGGTCGCAATTTGGTGCTGGCTTGTTTGTGGCATTGTGACTTCGCGTTGCGTGCGCCACTGTGGGTTTAAATGGCGGGTTCGTCTCGGCTAAGCTATAATCGCGCGCGTCTCAAAGCGCGGCGCGGGCCGTCGGCGCGCGATGGTGTCGCGCTGCCACATCGACGAACGTTGCGCGCAAGATGCACGCAAGCTTGCGCATTAAAACAACGCGCGGTGAGAAAAAGTAGCACGCGTGCTGAACATCATATAAAATGATGCATATAGCCCAAATCGAAGAAAACTGATCCTGAGGACCTAAGAAATTGAAAGTCAAGCCCCAGCAAGGCCCAGCCGCCCCCGTTCGGGACGGGCCGCGATCGACCCTGGAGCTGCTGCTCGTCCTGGAGAGCCCTCGTCGCCACGGCTGGACCCCCGGGGAGTCGGAGAGGTTCGGGGGGCCGGACGCAGGGGGCGCCCTCACACCGCCGCGCGTCCTGGAGATCCATCGCCGCCACAGCCTGCTCTCCGACGCTTCAGCAGGGGGTTCGATCTCGCGCCCGCCGCTCGCGCCGGAGAGTCGTCGCCGTCGCGGCCGGAAAGCGGAACCCAGCGGCGCAACAGCGAGCGCGCGACGAACTCCAGCCGCAGCATCGCGAGCAACACGGCGGACCTCTGCAGCCCTGTCGCGTCGCCCCACCCGGCTCGCCAAAAAGCGCGTCGGCACCCCCCGGGGCCGACGCGCACGCAGACCTCATATCCAGGCCCCAAGCCCAAAGACAATCCAGGAATTGAACACGCCGAGCCCCCCAAAACACAAGCACCCCCCTTGTGAACCCCAGCCCGCCCTCCACGCGCCGCCGCGCCCCCGCCGCGGGCCCGCTGCTGGCTGCAGGGGGATCGCGGTACGATTTCGCGGTTCCCGCCACGGATAGCGGCGCGCCTCGGCCATGCGCGACGGGGGGGGGGGGCGGGGAGCGCAGGGCGCACCTTCTGGAGGGTGGATTGGCTGGGGCCGCGACTGCCGACCTAGACGAAGGAGCGCGCCTTGGACCCAGACCTGACCCTGCCACCTACGGCGGCGAGTTCAGACAAATGAAGCTTGCGAGCCCCAGCCCGCCCCCCCTGCGCCACCGCGTTCCCCGCCCTGGGCTCGCCGCTGGTTGCAGGGAAATCGCGGCGCCACTTCGCAGCCCCCTGCCACGGTTAGCGGCGCGCCTCACCAGAACGCAAGACCGGGAACGGGTGGGGCGGGGAATGCAGCGAGTGCCATCCCGGGGCCGAACTGGGCGGAGACGCGATGGCTGGGCCAGGCGACGGAGCGGACCTCGGACCAAGACCTGACACCGCTGGAAGGACGGAGGAACCCAGCAGCGCCCCGCCCGGGCCGGGCCCGCCCAGAAGCGGACCTAGCGGGGGCACCGAACATGAAGTCACCGCGAGCAAAGGCTCCCCCAGGTGCGGGGCTTGCGCGAGCTACGCGGCTCAGCCAGCGCACGATGCGCCCGAGGGTTGGGGCCTGGTCGCGCCAATGAAAGCAGCGCGCGGCGGCAGCGAGATGCCCGGGCGGCGCGCGGCAACAGGCAGCGGGGCAGTGCTGCGGGAACGATCGATGCCCTCGGATCGACCGCAGACGCCGCCACCGACGCGCCCCCTGGCACCTGGGCGCGAGTGCTGGACGCGGGCGGCCAGGCCCACCCACGCAAACCCCCCAGACGCGGCCGCCTGCCCGGCCCCCCCCCCCCCCCCCGGCAAGGCGCCCCGACGGCTCGCGCGGCCAGCTGTCGTTGCGCCCCGCGGCTCGGGAGCCGGGCCCGCGGGTCGGCGCGGCGCCGCCGCCCCGGGAAGGCGCGGCTCGAACGGCGGACAGAGCAGAACTCCGTCGGCTGTCAGCCAAGGCCCCTCGCCCCCATCCGCCCGCCGCCCCCCGGCGGCGGTTCCGACGGCCCCCGCCCTCCAGAGGGCGGCGACGGCGCCCCCGAATGTGGCGGCCTCCTGTCGGCCCTGGACCGCGACGACTGCGGCGGCGACGACGACGGCCCTCCTCCAACCGCGGAACCGGCGAAGCCCTCGCACAAAACGCCGCCACCCTCAGCGGCGCACCTAGTCCACGGAGGAGGACGGCGGGCACCTGCGCAGACCCGGGGGCGGCGGGGAGTCTCTGGGAAGCCGGGGGGCCCAACCCCGGGGTCTGTTAGATCTTATTTTAAGAACGTGTTAGTTATATAATAACATAAGATCTTATAATAAGAGCGCACACACATGAAACACATGCTTTTTTTCATTCAATCGCATGCCATACACTCGCGTCTCATCTTGAAAGCGCTGCGTAGAACTTTCGGAGACGCAAGCTCTTCCAAGAGAACACTTGGCATGGACGAGCACATCTGCATGTACAAACAAGATAAACCTTCAAGACGCATTTGTAACTTGAGGATGTCACAAGGTAAATAGCACGTGCACAACCTGTTGTGAGAACCGCGCTGCTGAAACACCCGTGAACTATGGATATCAGCCACCGTCATCCTCCTTTTCCTCCTCCTCCTTATCCTTCTCCTCCTCCTCCGTTTGTCCCTCCTCTTCCTCATCCTCCTCGCCCTCTTCATTATCATTTTCCTCCTCTTCCTCCTCCTCACCATCATCCTCCTCATGATCCTCCTCGTCGTTCTCCTCGTGATCCCTCGAAGTGTCATGTGGATCATGGCCCTCGGGAATCTTCGCGGCGGTCCCCGAGGACATGTTGCGTGCGTTGCGTGCTTTGTTGATTCTTCTCCTCAGGGAGCGGGAGAAGGATATCCTTCTCCCGCTCCCGCAAGGAGCGGGAGAAGGATATCCTTCTCCCGATCCTTGCCCTTCTCTTCTGCACCCCCCTTCTCGCGGCGCCATTTACGACGAGGGCGAGGCAGGGCGCTGATCCAGCGCGAGGGCGGCCACCTGCGAGCAGAAGGCGTCTGGATACTTCTCCGACGCCTTCTGCTCGCCCTTTCTACCTGTCACCCACTCAGAGCGCCAGCCACCCGCTCTCGGAGTGGATGCGCGCCTCGCCTCCACCTGAAGGCGGAGCGATGAGCTCTCTCTCTCTCTCTCTCTCTCTCTCTCTCTCTCTGTCTGTCTGTCTGTCTGTCTGTCTGTCTGTCTGTATGTCTGTCTGTCTCTCTCTCTTGTTCTCTCTCTCTCTCTCTCTCTCTCTCTCTCTCTCTCTCTCTCTCTCTCTCTCTCTCTCTCTCTCTCTCTCTCCCTCTCTCTCTCTCTCTCTCTCTCTCTCTCTCTCTCTCTCTCTCTCTCTCTCTAGTCTCGGCTCGAGAGTGCCCAGCACTCAGACCGCAGCCGCGACGCGAAGCGCCCCGCCTCGGAGCCAGACTCCCAGGCCTCGCGAGACCGGAGGGGCCCCAGCAGGACCCTACTGATTCGCGTCACCTCTCCCCACCAGAGCGCCCGCAGCAATGGCCCCCAGTAAGCCGGAGCGCCGTCGCTCTTCCAAGCAGCCTCCGAGCTCACGTCCTGCTGCTGAAGGGTCTCTCCTCCAACGCAAGCAGGACTGCATCGCAGCTTTCAAGCAAGCGGGGTCTGACCGCCCCACGGCCGCATACAACGGGCTTG